AACTCGTTAAATTTCTTAGAACCATATTTAACCGGATCTGTCTCGTTACCGCTCCGAAGAAACGTTAGCACGCATCATATTTGAAAATTTAACCCGTTCAAACGCAATCTTCTCGAAAACTTTTTTTTTAACGCATGCTAACCTGCGTTAGGTTATCAAAATTATTTCATGGGTAGTTATGGAAGTATTGTACCGAAATTCAATAAAAAATTTGAAATGAAATTTCCTTTTTCATTATTTACTGTTATTGAAATAAATTGACTTAAATAATTTTTTTAACGAAAGATAATGGTCTTAAAAAATATACCGAATAGATTTAAAATTTAACATAAAATTTAAAATAATTGTCAGAAACTAATATTCCTTTATCTTTGAATATCACTTAGTATCAGATATTATTAGTTATTGAATTATCAATCATGTCAAGTATGAAAATTAGATGCATGGATTATCGATGAATATCAATTTATTTTTATGGGACAATCTAGAATATTGATGTAATCGCATTGATTAAAAATATAAAAGTAAAAAAATCTGATATCGATTGATTAATCCATCGAAATGTACATAAAAGATCGAAGTGTAATAATGATATAACACATAGAAGACATAAAATTCTACGTTGAAAAATGTTTTCCATTAATGAATTCTTCACACAATGAATATCTCTTTAAGACACGTATTAGACGAAGTGTTATGGAAATGACATGATTCATTTTCACCCGAATTGGATCTGAGTTGTATTTTTGAAGTTGTTTTTGTTTTCAATAGTTATTCGAATTGCAGAAAAATTCAAAAAGAAAATTTATAATTAGTATTTTATTTCTAAATGATATGTAATATAGCGGTGTGTCCTCTCAGTTCGTCCCAAATTGGCTTTGTAAGGTCAAACAATACCAAAGGGGCGAGCAGGTGTGAGAGTGAGCAATTTGGGACGAACGGAAAGTAAACCAATATAGCAGCATACGTAAATTAAATTTTCCACATCAACTAGTTGATACAAACAAAGATTTTGTCGAAAGGATATCGTTTTGTTCATTCTAAGTCATTCGTTGATGACAGTAGCAATCAATAGCAAAATCACCTGATGAAAAACTTGCGGCAGTTAATCAGCTACTTGCGTAGATTGATCTAGTTTATTATTGCTAATAAAAATTTGATTAGTTTTGATCAGCTAAGATATCCTCTCTGAACATGATAATGACAAATAAATGGTAGATTAGAAGGGACCAACGGTGGAAGACTTTTCCCAGTTGGATGACATCTCATTGGCTAAAATAGCAAAAGGATAAAAAATAGTCTACATAAATGAGATTGATATTATACTTGTCATTCATATAATTTTTTTCATTCACGATGGCCGTTTCTTTACAATTTGTAATATTGTTTTCGGCGATCAATTTATTTGAAACAACTGAATTTTTGCCGATGTTAAGTATACCTACATCGAATGTTGTCATTGATACTGACAAAGCGTTTATGCTCCGACGTAATGGTACATATGCTCCAAAACTTAAAGAAGAAATCGTTCATTCAGTTGTGTCTATCAATAATTTATGTGATGGATCATCGTCTGCAGATGTTGGCCTGTTCACATCACACACCACAAGTACTAACATTGTTGAACTTGCCACTATATTATCACCTCGTGATATAGCCACTGCTTTACCACGTTACGATAGTAACCAAGCTTCCAGTTTAATCCAAAACGATATAAGTCGAATTTTTCGTATTCATCGTCCTGACTCATTTGCCACGAAAACGAACTCCGCTGTACACTTCATCGGCAATCAATTTCATTCGATAATTAATATTAAAAAATCACTGTTTGATTCAACAAATTTTCTCGTTGATGGCAATCAATCTGATATTCCACGTGTATTGCCAGGACCGTCTAATATTATACTCAAACAAATAAATAATAATAAAATCGGATTTGACTTCCTAACAAACGCTGAGTTAAGGTTATTTTTAACTACAATTATATCCTCCATCGACAAATTTTATAAAATTAATGATCTTTCTAAATCACTTAATCTTTTCTCTCAACTTATTGCCGCTCAATCAATATATATTCTTCGTTCGTGTCCGATTCGCCGAGAAAATGTCTCAGCCAATGAACCATGTTTTATTGTCTCTACATTATTTTTACGTTCGTTCATAGAAAATAACATTCCACTTTCAGTCTATCGCTTTATTTCTCTGCCGGCAATTGTTAATGGTGAGCAATTCATGTATTCGAATATACCAGAAATAACTGGGATCAACACAGATGATTATGCAATAATATCTTGGAATAACACACCAAAACAAAACGAATGCCTATTTTCTTCTTTTATTTATTGTCGAAGGAAGCCATCAGTCATTCCATTATCTCATTCTTCATGCTTATCTGAACTGTTTATCCATAGCTTACGTATCGTTAACTCATGTCAAGTGACACGTTCTCGCTCACTACAAACTGATGTTATAAATATTGACAGTAACGTTTGGCTTTTTTCTCACAACGGAGACCCACTTTATTGCCATCTTCATTCAACTATTGGTGAATTTAAAGGTGTGATTACGATTAATGAACCGCCAATCGTACGAATGCCTTGCGGCAACACAATTAAATATACAAACACTGAATTGCCATCGTCTACTTGCACCAATCATAGTATATTAATTAAATCAACAGCTGCTGGAAATTATGAGCAGCTATCGACTATTTCATGGCCAATTCAAACCATGATGAAACAACTAATATCGACCCCAGGTCGAGGAGCGAATATCAGTAAGGATTACTTGCTAAAATCGCCTGAAACTCAAGTATTTAAGTCCAAATCCCCATTGTATATAAATGGGTCGTGGTACAGATTTAAAACCAGTAACAGCTATAAATGATCGTGGTGGGCTACATGTTATTGTTACATTCTTACCACAAAACCTTCGTGTTGAACAGCAAGCATTTGGCCGTGCTGGTCGACAAGGAAATCCTGGTAGTGCCCGATTGATATTGAATCAGGAAGAGGATCTGCCTCAATTGATTCAATATTTCAAAAATTTACCAATTGACGAACATCGAACAATTGAAGGTGTTAAACAGTTACGAGATAAATATGAAGCAACAACGATTCAAGAAGCTAGGAAGGAGGTACGAAAAATTGAAGCAAAAGATCATCTACTACAACAGTTTTTAAATATGGCACATAGTCAACGAGAATATATTGATTTTGGAAATAATAAAAAATATAATCCTGGATTTGATTCATTACGAGAAACATGGGGGAATTATTGTTTTAAAATTGATGATATGGATGATGAAGCGTCAATTCAACGACTCTACCAAAAATTTGCTAATAACGTTCAAACATGCTTGAATCGATGTGTTCAGATAAAACGCAATCCTGATCAACAGTCACAATTTGCCACATATGCTAGATCTAATTTTGGAGTGAAGGACGCCGATGCCGAACGTAAAGAAAAACAAGCTAACATTGATTGTCATATACTAAACGAATTAATTGAAGATCCAAAGTATTTTATGAATGCTGGTTTAAATGAAGTGTGTGGCGAAAGCGGGAAAATAGCAGGTGCTGACAGTCGTAGTTTAAAACTATTAGAATTAGCAGAACGACGAGACGACTCAGATTTCATTGTATTCTATAATAAAGCAGGATGTCTTGTTGGTCAAGGAAAAGGCAGTGATGCTCCGATTGCTATGAATAGATCACTAAATTTGCTTGTATATGAGATTGAAAATCGGAATAAATTAATAATATTGAATACAAAACCACCGCCCGATGGAAAGCCACCACGTGTATTTGCCGAAGTGATTTTTCTACAAATCGTTAAAAGTTACATTGAAGTGACAAGAAATCAACTTAATCAGTATGATTCCGATAAACATGAATTAACATGTAATTATGAATATTGGACAGAAGGATTTATACAAGAACAATTAAATGGTACAGAATTTGCACATTTAATACCTGATCTGGAAGAAGAACGAAAAGAATGGTGCTATGAAGGTCTACAGTTTCGTTATAAATTTATTATCGAAGCAAAACGATGTTGGTGGAAAACAATATTTATATTTGTAATGGGTGTAGCACAAGTTATTGGTGGTGCAATATTGTGCTGCATAACAGGGCATGTTAAACTTGGTACATCAATGATAATGGGAGGTGTATTTGATATGTACACTGCTGTTGGTAAGTTGTATTTCTAGTCGCATTTCTTCTCTATATATTCATATTCAAGGCTATATCCTGTCACAGGCAGAGGAATCTCGCAGTAGTAGACTAGCCCCTGCCAGTATCTTAACACAGAGCTTATGACGTAAAATTTAGAATACACTCTAAAAAAAAATGCGACTTATAGTAAGACACACAAGTCGGATCAGAAAAAGATGCTTTAATGTGCCTTACTGAAAGACACTATATGTGTCTTATGAGGGCAGACACTTCAATGTCTCTTTCAGTAAGACACATTAAAGCATCTTTTTGTGATCCGACTTATGTCTTACTATAAGTCTCATCAAAGTGTCTTACAATAAGACACAATAAAAAGGAAATACCGGTCCAGGTGAGATTTCAACTCACTACCGTATGTTTGGAAGACGTGCATATTAACCATTACACTACCGGACCCACATCATAGAGTTATTCTTATTCGTTCTGGTTCTTATTTTAGACTTGTAGAGTTAAAAAACGCAAATTTTAGTTTTGAAGAAACTTTTCGCTAAAATATTTTTTATACAGGCTGTTAAAACTTTGTGTGTAGCTTTACATTGACATGATAATACCAATAATAAGTGGTACAACGTTTCAAGATTAGCGTGTGATTGAGAATGCTCTAAGAGTCAAAAACTGAACTTCAGGCTTCGTGCTCTCTCCTGAAATTCAGTTTACCCATGCATCGACCCAAATGAGACAGCTCGTTCTAAACAGAAGAACCTTTTAGTGTAGTAGGCTTTAGTGTAGAAGAATGCTCCTGTCGACGATATTTGAATGACTTCCTGGAGGTCGCCGAGTTCATATTCTGAAATGTATGGTTTGTAACAATGTCACCACAGAGCACTTTTTTTCCGTTGCAGGTACTTTAAACTCTTACTCCAACTCCGCTCAAATTTTTTGGAATCAAACGGCATGACATGAATTCATGTTTACCAGTGTTACATCATTATTCTTGTGTTCCGAGAACACTTTTATACTCCTTATTTCATGCACATATCTGTGAGGATATGGATCCTCTAGTGGCTAACTCTAATGGTAGAAGTGAAGTTGGTGTGAGAACCAGTTCTCACTCCAATGTTTATTTAAGAAAGTGAACAGCTATATATAGTACACAAGTTGAGCAAGAGTTATGTAAGAGTTGCGCAGGAATTGCGCAGTAACAGAAAGAGTTGGGAAAACCACAGGATGACACAAGTGTTGCGCAAGAACAGAATTACGCAAGAATGGTGCTAGAACACAATGAAGGAAAGGAAAAGAATGGAGAACATAGTCTTATGAGCTGCGAGAAATGGCAGATCATAACAATATCAAGTTTCATGCAGATAAGTTCAAAATCAGAAATGATATGCACTCGGTTATGTTTGATAACTTTTGAACAAAAGTTGATAAAAAAGTCTGGTTTTCTCTATTTCGAAGTAAAAACTTAGACCTTTCCTCACAATAATCGTACCTGAAACTTTTTTAATTGTAGTTCCTTTGATTTTATTAGATGAGATAGATCACCTGTACAGTGTATGTCTTTTTCACATATGCCACAGCGACTGCTCTCGAAGGGCATTTTTAGGATATAGTTCGCTTAGTTTTTAGGAGAAGCGAAGCAATTGTAATGACGTTCATTCGTTTTATTTCAAGTTATTAGAAAACTTTTTTGTGAAACAATTTTTGACGTTTCGTTGACGTTTCGCTCACGTGCTAACCTTCAGAAAAATGATTTTATACACTGCACTCGAAAACGGAAAGTATAAATACTTACATCTATCTCTCTTTCATTTTTTTGTCTTTTTTCCTAATATACAGAATGTCTGACCAGACGACGATACCAGAACAGAAACAAATATACTCTACGTAACTTCTTCTTCGTCCATTTCAAATATTAGTGAAAAAGCCAGATGAGGAATGAAAAAGATAGATATATACTTACTATTTCTATTTTTGAGTTCAGTGTATATAATAATTTTTCGGAAGAAAGTCAGCACATGCGCGATGAAAAACAGCTGCGAGTGGTAATGACTGAGTAAAGCACGATAAAGCGTCCAAAAACTCGTCTGGTAGACGACTTTTTACAAGAAATGCCCATTTTTCCCACTTTTTGGATAGTAGTCTGTGAAAATACGGGTTTTCTCAAAAACTGCCGGTTTTTTAGAGGCTCATTTTGATGTCGTCGGAAAGAGCGTCGAAAACTGAGTATGCCCATGTGTGTTTGGCCGTGTAACACGCATGCCTCAGAAAAATATAGGCAAAACAGTTTTCGGAGAACCCAATTTTTCGCAATATTTTTGCTAATTTTCAATTTTCTGACTTAAAAAACTGGCTTTAAACGAGTTTTCAGCGCAGATTCTGAAAGCTGGCATCGCAGCGAGTAAGGTCATCTATGTTTTAAATTTTTTTTGGTAGTGGTCTTGGTTCGAAATTGGTGGGAAAATGGTGATGGGTCATTTCGACAATTTTTCAATAGATGAAATTAGTGTGCATTAATTTAAAATTATTTAAAAGTTCCAATGGATAAGCGTTATACTCGCCTAATTTTCCATGAACATGCCCTAGTAGCATTCCCCTTCATTTCACGGCAAGAATTCAGGCTTATCCTACCGGAATTTTGTCAAGAACTTTGAAATTTAATGCGAGCCCACTGCCGCGATCGTACCTACTCTTGCTCTTTTCCCCGTGCAACTAAAATTTGACAATCTTGACGCGACAGTTTTTTGACGGGATCGCGCTGACATCCTGCGAAGATCGTGACAAGATTGAAACAAGACCGCGCTGAAAGTGAAAACGTTCTTGCGGGATCCTGTTGTTTTGAGCTTTGAACTGCATTCCATTTCAGTGTCTCAAAGTTGGACTATTATTAATTTGCTTGTCGAAAGTGTGATATTGTTTTTGCCGGTAAAAAGTTTCTCAGATGCATTTTCCTAGGTTCTTTATCAGCACTGCATTAAAAAGTAAAGAAATGACTAATTGATTTGTATTGTATTATACAATACAAGTCAACAAAACAGATATACAATTTGTATATCTATTATATACGTTAAACGAGAGCAAAGCATAAACACAGTGGACGATAATATACGCACACTGTCTGTCTGTTTTTCTTCTTCCCAGGTCGCTGGAAATGAGACATAAATGAGATATGTATCGCTCATTTATGATATGAAGTGAAAATGATCATATTATGATCCTAAAATGATTTAAATATGAGCTTAAAATGATATCATATTTGAGTCATTTTAAGACCATTTCATAAAATGAGATAAAAATGATGTATATGTGATATAATTTGTAAAAATGATCTAAAATGGTCCTATTATGATCATCTAAAAATGGTCTATTTATGTGTCATTTTTACATCATTTTTAACTTCTAATCTATAATGATCATTTCTTACAATTATATTTGTCACATTTTATGATCATAATTAGATCATATCATTTATGTATATTAGATTAGTCATTTATGGGACATTATGACACAAACGGAAGTAGCAGTTTTTATGGAATTATGCGCATTTAGCTTCTACCACTTTCCACAAACACTGTACAGAGTTGAGCCTAGAGACTAAAAGATAGTAAAGTTAATTTCTGATATTTTTTACTCCGAAGCCTCAAAAACCCTTTCTTCAGGGTGAAAACCCCTTTTTGAACTTTATTTTCCGTTTTTCACCATGAAGGAAGTGTTTTCCAAGGTGGGACTCTATGCAAAAAATGTAAAAAATTAAGTTTACTATCTATTGGTCTCTAGGCTCAACTCTCCACAGTGTTTGTGGAAAAAACTGAGTCTAATTAATCAAAATTACTAGTTTTAAGTTCAAAGTCAAAATTAAAAAACGGAAGGAACAAAAACATATATATGTGTATACCCGTGTGATGTAGTGGATCATCGTAGACTTCTGATCTACAGGTTCGGGGTTCGAATCTCTGCACGAGCTGTTTCGTATTTTTTCTTCTTTGCATTTCTTATCTGATAAATAGTCTTAAAATGGTCTTAAAATGATCTAAATACGATCGTAATAGGATCATATTTTGATGACCATAATAAGATGATATTTATATCATAAAAAAATGACATGATTATCACTACATTATGGTACAGTAAATGAGATAAATATGGGAAAGATATGATTTAAAAATGAGCCATATATGGCACATAAATGAGTCATTTATGGCTCATTTTTTATCTCATTTTTCACGGCCTGGGATTCTATCGGCGAATGGAAGAAACAAAAAGAACAGTACATCGTTGCAGACTGAGATAGAGAAAAACACAAAGTCAGTGTGATCCGAGCGCGGGGATTGATTTTGTCCTTTGATAATTTAAGGACCAAAATGATATAATAATAAAAATTTTCCTCAGCGGTGGGCAAAGGAAAAATCTCTTCAAGATCTGATTGCGAATTAGACTCGAACTTGCTATGATCCTGTCGCGATCCAGTCGCACTCTTGAAATACAAATGAAACGGGATCTCAGAAAGAATGGAACGGGAATACCACTAGAGTGATAAAATACTTCGTTTTGAAATTCTTCTTCTGCTTCGCGAACATGATGATGATGATGAACTGATTTTCAACAATCAAGAATGCAAATTGTTCAGAACATCAGGAAAATAAGCGACGTATACGGTGGGCACAGTAATTACCGGAGTATTTGTAGTGGAAAAATGGATACGATCACAATTTTCAGTTAGTATACATCCATAATCATAATAGACATTACGTTAAGTAATGGCATTACTTGCTGTTTATCCAAAACCGTATGTTCTACACAATTTATTTGGTTCAAATTGGCTTTGAATCAACGCAAAAAGAATGGAAAACGCGACATCTTCAGGTGGCATACCACGCCTGGGCATTTTGCAGAAGGTTGCTCACCACTGAAACAGTTTCGAATTTTCGATTCTAAGACGTTAAATACATAGGCCAGATTGAGATCTTCAATTCTAGACCAGTCACAGGACTCCACCTTTCAAGGTTCGGGAGCTAGATAGGTTTTCCGTAGACCATACTATCTCGTCCGGACACGTCCGGGAATCTCAGAAAGACTCGAAACATCGATTTCTGACTTGAAATGAGTGAGATATGTCCAATCGAAGTTTTGCTGTCCACAGGCAAAAACTCAGATTTTCAGAAAAACGACTCTGGCGACTTTTATTCAGCTTTAAGAGAAAACAAACATTGCCACGATGCCACGATGCTCTGGCCTATGTATTTAATGTCTTAGAATCGAAAATTCGAAACTGTTTCAGTGGTGAGCAATCTTCTGAAAAATGCCCAGGCGTGGTATGCCACCTGAAGATGTCGTATTTTCCATTCTTTTTGCGTAGATTCAAAGCCCCACCAATCCATTTTCAGAAACTGAAAACCGCAGGTTTCTATCACTTTTCGTTAAAAAGTTATTGCAAAAACAATCGACTCCATTATTCATTGAAAACGATAGTAGATCATGTTCCTGTTCACTAATAGATGTCTTCAGAAGGTCTGAATAATAAAACACGACAATAATAAACCGAGTTTTAACTACTAATTTTATTTTAATATTAATGTTAAATTGTCAAGTAAATGAAGTACTTATTTTTATTTACATCGTAGTCAACGTTTTCAACCTTAAATTTTGTTGATGCAGATATGAATACTTCCTGTTCGCTAGGAAAAAAGGATAATTCCGATATATCCATATCATTATATTCTCTGACAATGTCAATAATAAACAGTGTATTCTCAAAGTTTTCAGCCATATCTTGACTTTGACTTGTTGACGAGAAAACCAACCATTGTTTATCACCGTTCTTTATAGCTTGTTTAAAATATTCAATTTGTTCTTGATCTAAATGCATTCCACGATAAATACCTTTATAAATATATGATTTTGTTGCAGCTACACAATTACTTGTATGTAATAAACTACAAAAAGGCGCCAATGTTTGAATTTTACTATAATCATCTTCTCCTAAAGTCTTATTTATTAATTTGTATAGAAAACATTCATATGTATAAAGTGATATGGCTAATTTATATATTTCATCTTCACCCTTATCCTTCACTGATCTTAATTGTTCGGCTAACCATTGAGCGTCTTTATTTTCGAATAAAGGGAATAAAATAAGAAAACTCGTATACTTAACACACTGAATACAATATTAAAAATAACATAGTAACAATAAACGTGTGATTGTGTAATTTCTGAATTGTTGTGTAATAACAGTTCGAATAGATAGTAGCAGAAAAGTACAAACTTCTTTTGAATACTCTTCATTCTTTCCTTCTACTTATTTCTGTTTTTCTTTTTCTTTTTTTAAGATTAGTTTGTATTTTCAAGTTATTTTGCTAAATTGATGGAATTGATATATTTTAAAGGTGTTCCGAAGATCCTTTGTAGTAACATTGATTGAATCAGAAAAAGTTGACATGTAAATTTATTATCGTAGTAATTACGACCTATAGTGTCGCTCCGATGTGCTGATGTTAAAAATTCATTTTTACCAGCATTATTCAATATTGTTGGATCAGCTATGACTCTTACCATACCAATAGTTGCATGCTTTCCTGTTACTAATTTCACTGACGTTTTAACAATTGCCTGTTGCACAACAGCTTTTATGTATTTTTCAATTTGTGAAACTGTTTTCAATTTCGCAGCTCTTTGAGCAATATATTCCATATCATCATTCAACTGTTCTAGTATTAAATCAAAATAAGGAAACTCTTATACCTAATACATTGAATACAATATTAAAACTAACATAGTAACAACTAAACGTATGTTAACGTGTTCTTCTGCTGGTCACAACTGACTTGACAAACTGAGAGAATGAGAAAACTACATCTGACGTATCCGTTGCTATCATGCTTGGATCGACTGCATTGCGTGTGGTTTTTCCATGCGTTACGTGGGCGTTTCTTCTAATGTTTCGATGTAAAGGAAAATATCTGATCTTTGGTCCTGCGTTAGAACTATTCTATAGCACCGATGTCCATCATACAACCGATGCGTTAGACGTAGTCTCAGGCACCAATGTCCGACATCCAACCGACGTCACAGATTAGTTCCTCAGCGTAGAATCCCATTTTCGATGCTGGACAACTCGAACATGGTTTCAGTCATTTCTGACTTCTCCACATACTGTAGAATAGCTTTCTGACCAAAGTTTGCGCAAAGCATGCATTTTCGAAAAACTTATATGAAAATAGATTTTTCGGAGTATCAAACAGTACTTGAGCTACAGTATCGAAATTTCAGCTATAAAATGTATATGTAGAGGAAAACTTCTTCTGCTAATGATGGCAAAAACAAGTGAAAGACGACGACCATCCGAAAGGCAATCTAACTCACTCTGTGAAAAACACCTCTTTCTAAAGCTTCGAAGCTCACCAAGACAGTTGCGCACTTTTGTAGAGAATCAAGTACTTTAAGGATAGTACTTTAGACATTTTCCAACAACACGTAAAGCAGAAAACAAAAGCCGCCAGACTCAGTTGTCTCTTCTGCGACATCCGCTAAAGTCTAGCATCTTTAACTGATGAATTGGCACGTAAAGCAATTACTCAAAAGTACACTTCAGATGTTTCACAATCTGCAAAAGGCTGGACTGTCGCACCATTGATGATCGATTCCCGTATGGCATATATTGTTAGCAGTGTATCAACACCTGTCCACGGCGTGAATCCATTTCGTGCTGTACACCCCAATTCATTACCAATGACATTTCGTTTTGAATTGCTGATAAATCAAGTGGCGCGATTGTAGACAAATCAGTGTCTCTAATCCAGCAACAGGCAATGAAAAGAAATCGTCAACATCATCATTCTTAACTGGAACTGTTCAAATCTTTGCAAGTGCAATTGTACCTCCACTTCCTTGGCTCTTATGTAATGGTACAGCTGTTTCAAGAACTGAATATCGACGTCTATTTTTTGTTATTGGCACAAGTTATGGAAATGGCGACAATTCAACAACATTCAACTTACCTGATTTTCGTGGAAGATTTCCATTGGGAGTAGATGAATCAGGTACTGTCAACATTGATGCTGGAACAGTTGGATTACTAGGTGGCGTAAACGTACAACAATTATCGGTAGAACAACTACCATCACATAAACATGATCAGGGAACGTTAGTTGCTACAGCAGCTGGAGATCACTCACATTCTTATTACGATCCTGGTCATGATCACGGTGGTCGCACAGGGGAGGCAAAAATGGCTGAAGGTGGCTTAGCCATGAACCGTGGCGGCGGGGGCGATGATAATCAAAGGCACAGTCATTCAATATCACGAGATTACACACATATAACAATCAACTCAGCTGGCAATCATATTCATCCGATTGATGGTGAAACAGGAAGTGTAGGTGGTGGACAGTCATTCAGTTTACTGTCACCATATCAAACAGTTAATTATATTATTTATAGCGATTGAGTTAAATAAAATTCAACACTGAAACTCAACTCAGAAACGTAGTACTGAGTTCTTTTTTATTCACTCACTCAAGAGAACTGACTCTTCGCACTTTTCTTGATAAAACGTGAATCAATTTTGTACTGCTTATTTTTTATATTTCAAATAAATATAAAAGAAACGCCAAGCCATATTCTAATAAATAAAGCATCAGCGATAGTTAAACCACTGCTTTTCTCGGGTCAAGTTAAGAATATGAGTCTTTATCATCAAGTTTTCCGATTTGGAGTTGAGACGCTAACTTAGCGAAGGACAATTTGCTTCAGAATGAGACATCTCCCAGCTCTCTAGGACTTTCTAGGTTATTACAAATACAAGCTCAAAAAAGATCCGTATTCTAGCTTTAAACACTTCCTTCGTCTTCTCTTTCTTATTTATTTATTTAACAGACAAAATCAAATAGAAAGCTTCACTCAGTTCCTCTCTCTGTCTCTTTTATGGGCTTCTCAGCATTATGGGCGTTATACACAAAATCCTCGTAAAAATAGAGGTCGACAGTATACTACTGCTATAAAATAGAGTGATACTGACCGTTAAGTAATTGCGCAATCTCAGTCGGTGTGCATCATATACGATAGACCGTCAAAGTTTACTTTTGCAGTTTTCTGCAAAAGGCAAAATTTGTCCAAATTCGGATTGTATATAAATGGGAAGAACTTACTTCAGGAATCAAACTAAAGTGAAACCAGCGTATCAAAAGCTACACGTCCCTCATCTCTATAGATTTCACTTAAAATACGTCTCAGTAAACGGATAGCTGTAATATAATATTTTATCATCCTCTGCAGTGTTATAGCAGAGGTAAGTATAAAATGAGACAGAAACGATTAGATGTGTAACTCTCAGTTTGCTGATATTATCGCATTTATAACGACCGATTTCACCATAGAATGACTAATCACGAACGATATAGACACACTCAGGGACGATCCAGAGGACTGATAGTGTTATCGAAGGTTGATCCGACGCGGTAGGGACCCGCATAGGGCGATCTCGGTAACTGATGGGGAGAGGAAAGGTTGATCCCACACCTTATAGAGACACACAGGGGCTCTTTACTAGTGAGGGTTTGATTGATTGATTGATTTTTATTTCTACAACAGCCGTTTGGTCAGAAAAAAGTGATGCCACGGTAGGTTAATATCACGCGATATAGACATGCACAGAGCGATCGTAGCGGGTTAGAGTACCATGGAAGGTTGATCACACGCGGTAAATGTGCATAAGTAGCCATCGACATTGTTTAAGCTTTATGAGTAGTAGGGGTGCCTAGAATTGAGCGATCGTCTATTAATATGGCGGGTGGTTTTTAGCACCGATTATAAGTCTTTGTTGTAAGTTGTCTTTGGTTTCAGATGTCAGATAGTGAAGATATTTTTGAAGTACTTTGTTCTTCTGTTGGATTAATTTCTCTGATTTACATCTGTCGCTTGTATATTAAATTGTCAAATCTTTCGTCAATGATTTTGTCGTCTGATGCCCGAACACAACTTATAAAGGAATTAGTTAATGGTCGTTGTAATAGTAATCATAGTAGCGAAGATATTCTAATGGTGACAAATGTTATTGCAATGAATAAAGATTTTGTTAATCGGGTGTTGTTAGTATCTGATTTTGCTGAAAAGAATATTATGGTGGATGTGAATCATGTTACAGTTGATGTCTTTAATGATATGATTTTGCTTCCATTCACTAACATTTGTGTTGATTGTAATGAATTACTTAGTTTGTATCGCTGCAAGTCGGTTCATATTATTGATTGTCTTAAAATTATCCGAGCGGTAGCTATGACCGGGGAATGTAAATCATGTTTACTTTTATATGGTCACTCGTCTTGGAGTTCCGATGGCGGAAAATCAGCAGTTCGTCCATGAATAGTCCAGTGAAAGTTTTTTATTTATCTGATTCTTTTGGACTGACATATTCAGTTCTTTTTGATTATACATGTCAACTATTAAATTACCAGTGTCCGTTCAAGGCATTCTCTCGAACGCTTATCGATCGATATAATTATGAGAAGCAAAATAATGGTATCATTTTTCAACCTATTCGATTAGCAAAACTGTTTCAGTGTCACTGGATATTATATCAAATTGTACTTTTTGAATTTATGTTAGGAAAAACACAGTCGGTGAATTTACCTGCTTCACTTAATCGTTGTGAGCTCAATGATCATTTTGAAAACTATTCAGGTTGGTGGTATCATTTGTTCACCATATTTTGGTCTAGTCATAAGTCAATTCCGAAAATTAAATGTGATGCATTGAACTGCAGCCGATGTGTAATTGTTGATGGCCATCAGAAAGCACGAAGGATCGTATGTAGCTTTAAGAACGTCGTGGATATTGAGGAAATGACTGCCGTTGAAATCAGCTGTCCACATGGGGCTTGTCGAAAGAAACAATCGTCTAACTCTGGTAATTTTGGGAACCAATACTATTAGTTGCTCCGTAGAGTTCTTGACTATTAACAAATTTATTTTAGTTGATCCAAGTTTTTGCCGTTATCATCAGCCGTCGTTCTATTTATCATCTTCAAATTTACAAAAAGCTTGTGAAATGGCTACAGAATTTTCGGTGAGTAGATTTTGTTGATTAATCGATTTGAGAAATCACAAATCAGACAGTGATGAATATGCAAGTATTTCATATTTAAATTTCAACGTCTGGTTATAACGTAAACATAATTTGTTAAAACGAACTTTATTAGGTTAAGAAGTAAGATATGTGTTTATGAATCGAAACGATCAATATGCAGTCTGACATTTCTGCTATTCGTTAAAGTCAAAAGGATAGTACGAATGTCAGTTTGCATAATTTGAAACTTATTAAATGTACCCAGGTTAAACAATCCTACTAGGTTCCTCCAAGATCCTATAGGATCCTACTGGTAACAGAATTTCATAGGATTCCTATAAATAGGAATCTTATGATCAGACAAGATCTTAGTTTAGAATCCGATAGGATCTTAAAAGACCCCATATGATTTTGTTATAGGATTCTTTGATCCGGTTATAGACAGCACATATATTAGTAGGAAAAATAGATTCGTTTAACTTAGCCCATAATTTTTGCCGATGTATTACCTGAAGATCACTTTTTGATTTCTATGGTAAGCCAATTTTAATTGTTCATTCTCAACATAAATAAATCGTAGTTTTGTTAAAAAGTAAATTATGTGTCGAGAAAACAGTTAAATGTCAGAAGAAGATAAGTTAATGTAAGTTATGTAGTTCTACAGCGGACATATTTTTATCTACTTACGAGGAAACCTACTCTGGTGCCTCGCTCAGATTTTGTTCGTTCTTGGGTCATCCGATGGGGTACCTCGAGTAGGTAAAATGCCTAAAAGGACGACGGCTCTTAAAGACCCGTTTTTCTGGAAAACCAGTTTTTCAGAAACTTCAAAAGTTATCGAAAACTTTCTTAATGAAGCATAATTGTAGCCCGCAAATTTCTGATTAAAATGAGACATCTCCCAGCTCTACACGACCTTTCTTTGCAAAGTTAGAGAATTGACAAGAAAAGCCCTAAATGTTGTAAATTGTCAGCTTAAAGCTACAGAAATAAGAAATTAATTCAAGGCTTTTCTTGTAAATTCTCTAACTTTCCAAAGAAAGGTCATGTAGAGTAGAGAGACGTCTCATTTTAATCAGAAATTTGTGGGCTACAATAATGCTTCATTAAGAAAGGTTTTGGTCATTTTTAGAGTTTCTGAAAAACTGGTTTTCCATAAAACGAGGTCTTCAAGAGCCGTCGGTCGATATCCTTTTAGGCTTTTTATCTACTCGAGGTCCCCTAGCGAATGACGCAAGAACGAAAAAAATCCGAACGAGGCACCGGAATAGATTTCCTCGTTAGTATTTATCTCAACTATTGTTTGCTACTCCGAGAGTAGTTGTTCGAGTTTGATTATCACATCGTCATTGTACCTTGTCAGCTGATATCGTGAAGTATTGAGACATTGTATATTTCAACGTTCGCTTCTTGATAACTGTTCGCATCGACATTTTTTCATAGTGATATTTGCGCTTGCCATTATTTAGGCTGTCGACATTCTTTCCTCAACATTTCGAAAATGGCCTATTAAAATATTAATACTGTGATTTTGATCAGATTCTTATTACAACATAAACGAGAAAAAAAGTTTGACTATTTCTGTGAGAAAATTAATAAATTGAAATTAAGTATTTTGTAACTTTGACCTTCTCGATCACTTTTCTCTACAATGCAATAATAAAAGAAATTGTAGTCTTTTTTCGGATTCTTTGAAAACAGCTTGTATCATCTCATTCTAAAGAGAAGTGTGAGTCGTTTTTATAATAGAAAATATATATATTAAAGACAACAGCTTCTGCAACTTATACTAAACTACTATCCACTCAATGATTTGATATGTCGGAGAGTATTGCGCGCATTTTTTGATCGAAAGCCTCGATTTATTCTGTAGAGCTATCGAAATATTATTTCAGATTTCTTTTATAACTGTTGATATGTAGAAACGTATTTAAAAAACGTAGAATTCTTCAGCATGATCAAGTTTTTAAATATATATTTGAACTATACAATGACGATTTAAGTTTCAAATGCTTACATATGATCAAGAAGCAAAAGCAGATCCCGGTTCCTACGATCCTAATGGATTCCAATAGATTCCAGTAAATCCTGATGGATCCTAATAGATCCTGCGGCTCCTAGGTTCCACTAGGAGCTGCCTTTTCCCCCTCGCATACGACTGTCTGATTTCTTAGATTATGACTTCTTATAATAGCATTCTGCTTCACTAATTAAACAACATCCTATTCTAGAAACGAGATCAAGAGTCTTTGCAAGATCACAAAAGTCAATGTCAAAACTATCGGAATGATAGCGAAGAGATTCGAAAGAATCGAACGTATGGAAGTTTAGTATCCTATCATCCTTGTGGGGTTGCTATATGATATACAGAGGCAATCAAAGCGGAAGATATGCGATCAATTACTCGTCATCTTTTACATATGATTATTCATGGTTGTCGTATGCCGGACGCCCTCATGTACGACTGCGCCTGTGCACTAAAACTTCATTGGAATAAATGGCTCGGTACAGATATGCTGAAATTATCAAACTTAACTAAACAACTTCCGACTTACCTTGCTCTTGATAATTTTCATCAACGCACGCACTCTCGATCCATGTGTCAAACCATAATGAAGTCGGATCACCCGTCACACGAAGGGCGATTTATCGGCTTGAACAGTCAGGCTGCTGAACAAGCTTTTCAATTTATCTCCTGTGCTAAATATTCTTTACGAAACTTCTCATTTCCTTATTCAATTGTCATGCTCATGTTGATTTTTCATTTGAAAAATTGCCGAATTACTGGTATTGATGAATACAGTATTGGTCTAGCATTTTCTCATTTTGGCAATGAAATTAAAAATTATTTTTTAACACCACGAGTATTTGAAAGTTTTGGGGTATTCATCGAAGACGAAGCGAATGATACCGATGAAGATTATCAATCAGAAGATGATGAATTGATGATGAAAGATTAGTTTTGAATGCATTTTTCATGTTGTCCAGAAATCTTTGAATTTTGAACATTAACAGTCATGTTGTCGAGGACAATAGACTTTGCAGCAAGCTGTTCTTTTCTTCTTTATACATCAGTACTGTTTTGTTTGTACCTGTTGTACATACTTTTATCAGGGTTATTTCTTTACTTTTACATTCTTTATCGTACTTAGATTGTAGTCCCTTTTTTCGTTGTTACGACTTTTTTGTCATGTATCCTTCGACTAGTAGCATTAAATACTAATCACTGAAAAATTATAAATTAATAGCTGGTTTTATAAGATTCACCGTTAATTCCTTGAATTAATATGTGAACAGAATTGATTGTTATATTAAGAAGAAATCTTCGGTAACAATCAATAACAACATAAGAGATCTGAATTGCGACTAAAGACGAAACAATTTATTTTGGAAGTCCTAATTTAAGTTTTGCAAAAATACTATGCTGCAATACTGAAGGTCACCCATTATCCATAACCACCACAACGAAAGACAGGACCAAGCAAAAGAATCACTCATATGCATAAAACATGAATAAAAATTGCTGGAGCAAGAAGCAACCGTGACATACTAGAATTATACATCTTTATATATTTCTCTTCGTTCCAGTTATCACCTCCATTGAATTCACATTCGTTCATTATTTTACTAAGATTGTATTCTTAGTTGTATAGTTCTTAAGATGGATTATAGTTTGTTCATTCATCAATTTTGTTACATTTTAGTCTTATTCAACATCCACGACGGGCGATAGTTGTGTTCTTTTCTTAGTCTTATTACATTTTGATCTTATTTAATGAATAAATAAGATGGACGATAGTTTTGTCTCGTTGTATTTTAGTCCTATCTAATGAAACATAGATAGATAGACTTATTACCCATACCTTTCGGTGTAAGGTAAAGATTTTCTGATCTTTTTCTATAGCCAGTAAATTTTAGAGTCCTACTGATAGGTGGGTAGCCTAGGAACAGAACAAGATGGTTACCGATAGGCCGGGAGCGCCTCTCAGTACTGCAACGAGACCCTGTGGATGTTGAAACATCTTCGACAGCCGGCTAAAGAACATACAAGCTGCCCGACTGCCTTGTTCGATGATACATCGTACTGATTGCTACAGCAGTCTAAACCTGATGAGTTCCAACAATTTAATCCGACCATCGACACATTTTGCAAAATAGTATCCTACACTGAATTCGCGCAATAAATCGTTCTTTCCGTTTCCTTTCTTCTCTCAATGCACAAAGAATTAATGCACATAGGAACATGTATTTCTATTTTATAAGGTAACACGCATATTCAATAGCAATTTGCATTTGAACAACGGTATGTTAGCACAAAAGTAATACGTTAATCCCGCGCCGTGATATAACATAGATCATGAACATAACCGTATTTGTTGAGTATCTAAAGAGAAATCGTTTCTTAATTCCTTTTAGTTTGGTACCGATTGTTTAGTATTTTATTTTTAGATCATTTTAATTATTACATTTACTCCACATTAATATTATATAGGAAAAAAACAATATTCTCTTTTTTAAATTATCTTGATGGTTAAATTACATTGAAATTATGTACGAATCGATTGTATTATATTTTCTCATTGTTTTAGATTATTGTCAACATTAAAAATTAGTCCGTATTGAATTATACACAAAGAAACCAAGGTTTTGTTTTGTTTTAGATGATCTTAATAGTTAAATTGAATTAAAACAAAATAATCGAACAAAAAACGATATATTCTGAAAAAAGTGAATTGTTTTCCGGATATACTTTAAACAAATTATAATACTGAACTCGTCGAAATTATTTCTTTTTATTAAATTATTATATCAAGTAATTCATGTCAACATTTGGTAGCATAGTGTATTGTATGATATTCCTTCTTTTAGATTTTCTATTGGTTTAATTAGTTCTATATCAATTGGTGGTAAATTCAGTGAAACGTTTCGCACTATTCGGATCGATTACCTTTAATTAAACGTAAGTATTATTTGATCAAATACTTTTCATAGTCTTTATTGATCTATGGATCGTAATCTATTATGTTAGAGAACCCTTGCATGCTGGTAGAAGGGCTAATAATATATTTCGTGTTTTCAGAATAAATAAGATTTGTCGCGTTCTTGTTGAGAGCACATCGAATCTTCGTGAAGCAGTTTTGAGCTTTAACATTTGTACGTTGTGAGACCTGTTGTCTTCCTCAATAACAAACTCAGTTGAAGTCTTTTTGGCCTAACCTACGATGCAAAAGTAATTGTCGAAATGTCTAGTCTTGGTTCTCCACTCAAGAGCATCGTAGAGAGCTCATTTTGGTTTTATTTGCAAGAGCTTCTTCGGAGCTTTCGAATGGTGTTCTATTTATAAAAATATTGTTTTACATTCAATAACAAGTCATAAAAGAAAAGAGCTCTCAAAACGCGTTTGCAAGTTTTATAAAAATACAGCAATTATAAAGCGTGAAAAGGACCGCTCATTCCCCGAAAAAGTAAGGTATAGCAGAAAATACTATCCGATGTATGTTAAAGTATGCAGCATCTAGTAAAACCAAATTTTTGGCAAGAAGTCCTTCTCCAGCTAAAATAACGAACAGAAACCAATTAATAATGTCAACAGAAGGTGTGTTAGAGACCGGTGTGCTTAAAACCACACGAGCACTGAGTGAAAAAGTTTATTTGAATGAATATACGAACAAAATCTTGTTACCGCTAATCGGAAAACATCATGAAACTGATGGATATGCGTTTTAGCTGCATAAAATCAGAATACATTATGCTGATTTTGCACTTAATTGATCGAATGAACAAAATATAGCAAATGCACTTGATGATGATACGGCCAACGGCAAAAAGTGCTTCCTTTCGTGCACTTTTAGGCGTTTTTTGGAGCAAGATTTCGCGAGTCCAGAGATATCACAAAAAACTCGCAATCAGTAATTATCCAATCAAAATAAATTTGAGCAACGGCAGTTCAAAAGGCGCTTAGACTGCATTAGTGATTTTAATAGATGCAAATTCAAAATTCAAATCACTAATGCAGTCTAAGCACATTTTGAATTGCCGCTGCTCAAATTTATTTTGACTGGATATTTACTGATTTTCGAGTTTTTTTGCGATATCTCAGGACTCGCGAAATCTTGCTCCAAAAAAACGCCCAATACATGATGTTATTCAACCGTTGACCGTTTAATCATATATTCAATATGAGATTATCGCTTATATTCAATTTGGTGATACAGTTTTTTGTACTTTAGAACATGCTCTTTTTAATGAAGAAAAATTGGTTTTCTACGATGTTCCTGAGCGGAGAACTGTGACTGAAGATTCTAGTAATAACTTTTGCATCGTAGGTTATGTTGTTGCTTTCTCGGTAGCCGACATATTGAATCATTCTTTAATAAAAACCAATAGAGATCTTTTTCATTTTTCTTACTGCTATGATGGACATTCTTCTAAGGTAGAGTGAATTGGGTTGAAGAGAGATACATAACAGCTAGAAATAAATAAGAATGTGCAATAATCACACATGTCATATTTCAGTATGTGAAAGCTGATATACTGCTTGCCATTTTCAGATATGCCATTCGTTAAACCCGATCCTTATGCAGCACAAATCAGTACAAATATTTTTAAATTAACCAATGTTTCTCCTATTCCATTTGATATCAAAACAATTTTTAACTCATTTCATCAACCAGCACTGGTTCGATTTTTCGAACACCACAAAACATTAGGTCTTGATATTGCTCCCTTTGTATTTGGCATGCTGGTACATGTGGCCGTTATGCTTGATGGCGCCGAACTGTTTAATCCTGATGGAACCGGTTTTCTTACATCGATGAACTTGTTCATTGTTAGCTCTCCGATGCTGAAAGCGACTAGTAATCACGAGAAATGAGATCAGTCCCACGCCTCTATGAATAAGCCGAGACCAGTGTCTAGTGGGTTCTGGAGAAGCTAAACAAAATCTGCTGCGAG